GGAGAGATTTGGGAGCTCATCCACTCCTAACTAGAGCATGGCTCTACATCAGACTCAGGGCTATGTCCACTCTGCTGCGGAGTACAGGAGTGAACTTCTGGACTCTGGGCTAGGAGTGGGAAATATGACGATATGTTACTGACAAGTTCATGACGAATTGTCATTGTGTGCTTTTCTGAGTGTGTTATGGGTCTCATCAGCCCTTGTAGAACACTGAACAACTGCCAGTATCATAAATAAGATGTTGACCAATTTTTAGAGCATGTAAACAATCACAACCAGTGTACAATAACTACATAAACTGCATAGTAACAAGTAGCTGATTAGATGTCTGCTCATTACACTATTATTTACATGATAAAAAAAAGGTTATTTAAACAAGATGCAAGAAATGAAAGTACATGATTTGTTTGGCTATCAGAGTGAGGAACTACATGGCCAAAGCACAAGAGGGGTAAGTTAGCCAGTTCATTCAGTCTGCTTGCACACTAAGGCTACAGATGGCTATCTTAATGTTACTATATTGCATTCTGTCTAATTAACTAGCCAACTAGCAGTCGCTCCAGTTCTCAGCCAAGCTGCACCATCTTTGACGTGTTCACAATCATGTATTTTAAACAGATAAACCATGTTTACTGTTCAATATGCGTCCACTCACTGTAACTGTGATAGCAGGCTCAGTCCCAGGTGGGGGGAGACCAGTGTGGTTGTGGTGGGCTGATCTAGACTGAATTTAGTTTTGAAACCTCAGATTTCTCCCGTAGCTTCTATGCATGCACTTATTCAAGGATGCGTTGATGGAACTTGCATGCCGCTGTTTTTTAAAGGTATTTTGAGAAATGACGGAAGGGGAGGAGTTGACAGTAAAATTCATTGCATATCATAACGTGAACTATGTACTGCATGTACAACCAGCCACTTCATTAAATACTCCTCCTTGTATTTGAACACTCTGTCCATTTTATCAGCTCCACTTACCATATAGGTGCACTTTGTAGTTTTACACTTACAGACTGTAGTCCATATGTTTCTCTGCATACTTTGTTAGCCGCCTTTCACCCTCTTATTCATATGGTCAGGACCCCAGCAGGACCACCACAGAGCAAGTATTATTTGGGTTGTCAATCATTCTCAGAACTGACATAGGAGTGATACTTTAGTGTGTGTTCCAGTGGTGCAGTGTAGCTGGTGCGCACATTTTTCTCTGACTATAATGCTGCCTGTATGACTTTAAGATGCCCACAGATCATCTAATCATTTGAAAGCCACAGCCAATCAGTGCAGGACAGAGTTATCTTTTCTTCAGTAGTTCAGTAGAGAATGTTAAAAACATACTTTTTATTATTGGATAAATATATTTCTATGTTGAACTTCAGTAAATGTTCATTTTAACATTTTAAACGCCTTTTTTTAAAAAATGCATTTCTTCTGAAATTACAAAATGAATATAGCTTAGGAAGAGTTTCACTTTCTCACATTGTTCTACTCCTCCCTACATAATGTCCCCTGCAAAAAACAAACACATTAAAAAATACTAATGGGGTGTTACATGCTGGTGCTTTTGATTTTTCCTCCTCTTCCTTGTTAAGTAGGTTATTGTTGAGCTGAACTAAAACACATTGAGAAAAAAAAACCTCATTCAATCCTACAACTTCACAAATGTTTGGCCACACCTATTCATGGAAGGGTTTTCTCATAATGAATATATAAAAACTGTAAAATGACACATATTGAATTATGGAGTGATAAAAATTGCAAAACAAATTTTATATTTTAGCTTCAAGGTTCCCCCTCCGTTTGCCTTGATACAGCTTTGCACACTGTCCAGCTTTATGGGGAGCCTCCAAAAATGACTCTCTTACAACCTTGAAGATCTTCACTTGTCACTGTCCAAAAAAACGTAAATAAATCTTTCAATTTTTACGTTTTGACATCGTTTGAGCACCACAACTGTCCTTTAGATTGTATGAAACTTAATAATGAATGGTCCAATCGAAATGCTCCAGACTCCTCAGAATAAAATCTCTACATGAACTTACATTAAAAGTAAAGAATGTTTTTGCCTTCTCCTACAATTTTGGAGCTACATGTTTTTTTTTTTCTTTTAAACATGAGGCTTTAATATGTTTAAGATTTTGAAAAACAAAAATTCAGTTGTTCACTAAATATCACTTCGAATGTTTTGACTGGTCCAGTAGGAATAGAGACAGTGTAGTAGGTTTCTAAGCCACAGTTTGATTTGGCTTATACTTTGATACAGTAACATGTGATGTTCTGTTTAGCTCTCTTTATTAAAAACATCAGCTGATAAAGGTTAACAGTTAAACCTAATGGTAGACACAAGACACAGAGCACTGAAGCATCATTCCACTGCAGCCTGTTTACTGAACTGACCCCAATTCACATTCATCCACTTCTGAAAGAGCACTTGTCAGAAGTGTGTGTGTGTGTGTGTTTATATATGTGTGTGTGTGTGTGTGTGTGTATATATATATGTGTGTGTGTGTGTGTTTATATATAGTGTGTGTGTGTGTGTGTGTGTGTTTGTGTTTATGATGATTGATGTGTGTGAAATGTGATGTTACTGCAGCGCAGGCTGATGATTTTCAGTGCTGTTTATTATAGGCTGCTGCTTCTGACTGATCAATATGGAATCAGAGGAGACCATGACAAGAGGCCCACTATGTCAATCCAGTGTCCCTCTTTCTCTCCTTCTTTCTCTCTGCTCTCGCGCTCTCTCTTATACGCTTTTTCTCTCATCACTTTCTCTTTTGCTCTATCTCTCATCTCTTTCCCTCTCTCTTCCTCTTACTCTGTTCTCTCTTCTCTGATCTCCTCTCCTCTCTTTTCCTCTCTCTTTCACTCTCTCACTTATCTGTCTGTCAATCTTTTTATCTCTCTCCTTCCCCCTTTCTCCCATCTCTCTCCCTTCCTCACCCTCTCTCTCTCTTACTTTCTCTTCACTCTTTTCTCTCTCTCTTTCCCCTTTCTCCCCCATCGCTCTCTTTTCTCTCTCGATTTATCTCGATATTTGTCTACCTGTCTCTTCTCTCTCTCTCCCCCTCATCTCCTCCCTTCATCTCTCTGTCTCCCTCCCATGTCTTCTGTCCTTCTCTTCCTCCACTCTTTCTCTCTCTTTCTCATGGTCTCTCTATCTCTGTTTCTCTCTCTCTCTCTCTCTCCTTCTCTGTGTGAAGTATAGCTGAGTGAGGGTTTTGAGAAGGCACAGTCAAAGGCAGAAATGGCGCTCTCTCTCTCTGTCTCTCTCTCTCTCTCTCTCTCTCTCTCTCTCTCTCTCTCTCTCTCTCTCTCTCTCTCTCTCTCTCTCTCTGTCTCTGGCTGTCTCTCTCTGATATCCTCATCCATTAACTTAATTCTTGACTTCTCCATCATTGTTTCCTGAAGGCCCTTCTTTCTCTTTTCTTCTTGCCCTCTCCCTTGTCTTCATTCTTTCATTCTTGCCCTCTCCATCATTACTTCCTAAAGGCCCACCTTATTGTTTTCTTTCTTTTTGGCTGCTCTCTCTCTCTCTTTCTCTCTCTCGCCCCTTCTCTCCCTCTCACTGTATTTGCATGCTGCAGTCATTCCAGCCCCTGTATCCCTGCAGTAATTGGAAAGCCGTCACTGAGCTCAATGTTGGGAGTGGACCAGCAGGGATGAGAGAGGGAGGGAGGGAGGGAAAGAGTGAGTGTGTTGATGGATCTTGCCAGTAAAGGAAAGGGGCAGCAGAGCCTGTTTTTTTTTTGTTTTTTTTTTTTCCCTGGGCAAGTTGAAGGCTGATGGAGGAAACAACATGACTTAGGCATGAAAATCACAGCTCTGGGCAAAGTTAGCATGCTAACTACTCAGAAGCTGCTAGAGGACGGAAGGAGAGGAAGAGGGAGACTGAGAGGGAGGGCAAGTGTCACAGCTGTACGGTGTGTTAGCGGGTCCGAGGGCAGGTTTATGTGTCTGTGCTTTAGTAAGTGTGGGTTCTGGGATGACGTACAGGTTGTTATTTTCTCTGTATTACTGTTCTAAATGGGAGAAAGAGGAAGATGCATGTGGTACAGTGATTGCTGGGCTGTGCTGTACAGTGCGTGTGTGTGACTGGCTGGGTTTGAGTGTGTGTGTGTGTGTGATGAATGGGCGAACGAGAAGGCTCTGAGATGAATGAGACAGACGTAGAGCAGCGGCTACTCAGCCTGCAGCTGCATTAACATTCAGAACCTGTCTTTCAGTGAGAGAGGAGAGAGAGCGAGTGAGCAGCAAGCGAGCTGTAGAAGGAAGGAGAGAGGGAGACGAAAGAGAGAAAGAGCAGGAGAGGGGAGAGCAGGGAGTTGGGGGGGGAGAGAGAGAGGGGTAGGAGGGGCGGTGTGTTGATTACGGCAGAGGGAGCTGCGTGTGTGCGCGTGTGTGTGAATGTGTATGTATGTGTGTTCGCGTGGCGGGGGATTTTTCTGAGGGGGGTGAGGTAAGTCGCACTTCCCCACGCTAATCAATCCAGACCCCCCGGCGGCCGCGCGTTGTCGTCGGCTGACGGTTCGGCTTGTGGATAGAATGTGCAGAGAGGGGCGGGATTGTGTGAGCCCAGGCACGGGAAGAGAGCGAGCGCAGCCGCGTCAGAGCGTGCGTGTGTGTGTGTGCGAGCGCGAGAGCCGCGGGGAGCGGACATGCCCCGCTCGCGGCCGGCCCAGCCCCAGCCCTCAGCACCACGGACAGCGACAGGCAGCCGCTAACGGCAGCGTGGGGTGAGGGAGGAGAGGGAGGAGGAGGAGGAGGAGGAGAAAAGGAGGAGAAAGGAGGAGGAGGTGGGCCTGGCTGGACCGGGAGGATTGAGAAGAGGACCTGCACACGCCGTGTTTGCGTGTGTGCGCGTGCGTGCATCCCTGTGCATGTGTGTGCAGCAGCGGCAGCACGCGCCTGCTCTCGCGGCTCACTCACGGGACCATGTCAGTCACCACCGGATTTGGCTACCAGTTGCCGGGCATCACCACGGTAACCTATGTTTTTGTTTACAGCCCCGGGACAGTGCAGCGGGACCCCAGCCCGCCCCCCTCGGGGCCCTCGCACGTGCTTTCGGGGGCCCGCGGCCCCAAGCGGAAACTCTACAGTGCCGTGCCGGGACGCACCTTCATCGTGGTCAAGCCCTACACACCACAGGGAGAAGGGGAGATCCAGCTGAACCGTGGAGAGAGGGTCAAAGGTTAGTACCGCCTCCTCCGTGTCTCACCTGACTGACATTTACATTGCTCATTCTGCATTATTTGTTTGTTTGTTTTTTTGGATTTTGGAATATTAATATCAGGCGATGTGAAATTTTTGTAATGGTAAACTGATGGTCATTGAGGTTCACAGTGGAGTGTGGTGATAGACACGCTATGGTATAGAATGTGTACATCATGCCAGACATGCTTCAGACCTGCTGCCATGTAGAATGTGTAGAACACTGTAATAATCCTGCTATAGTGTAGACCATGCAGAACATTAAGTTAGACCTGCTATAGTATAGCATGTGTGGAACATGATAGGTGTGTGTACAGTAGGCCTATAGAACCCCATGTAGAACCCCATGATAGACCTGCTTCCACTGTGCTGGACACTAGGCCTTCAGGACCAGAGTTCAATACCTCTGTGCCCCATGTAGAATTTGTAGAATAGTCATGATAGACCTGCTACCATGCAGAATGTGTAGAGCATCATGATACACATGCTACTGTACAGACTGTAAAACAGTATGACAAGCATGGCATGGTACAGAATGAAACATCATGATAGGCATGGAACATCATGATAGACATGCTACATTAAGCCTAGAGAATGTGTAGAAAACCATAATCATGATACAGTTTAGAATGTGTAGAACATGATACGCATGCTGTAGGTATAACATGTGTGGTACACCATGACACACCACAGTATAGAATCTATAGCGTGGTACTGGCGTATTTCTGTAAAGGCTTTATTATAATGTGAGTAGCTGCTATCATGCTGATGTGTTAGATTATAATATATAGGAGGCCGGACAGTAGGGCTTATAAAATGGCTCATTGGGACTAACTGTGGTAGCATAATACAGACTTTATACTAAGATTAATATGGCATAGTAATACATAGTAACATGGATTGTACTAGTCTTGTATAGTCTATACAAATCTGGCTGTGGGCTATTATAGTACTATAACAAATCTGCCTATAGTACTATTATAGTGTAATATCATGCGTATGGTTACAGTAAAGTGCATGTGTTAGTTTATACTAGGAATCTCTTTTTGCCCTGATCTGGTCTGAACTATAATGGGTATCAAAGTCACCACAGTGGGACAGAGACTGCTGTCTGGAGATCTTCCTTCATAACTCATATACAGACACACACACACCCACCCAAGAGCTCAGCTGGAAGGATGCTCCATACATGCTCATACTCTCATTGTGACCATCCATCAAAGTAACATTGTTTTTTGTGAAGAGCTAGAGAGTTAGCTTTCTCTTTTTCTCTTTAAAAACTCCTTAACAACCTTTAGAAAACTTCTTAACAATCGTCAAGTGTAGGTATTTATTTTGAGAATTGGCTGCTGTGCATTCTGTATAAAAGTTAAGGTTCTCATCCACTTGCAGTACGTGCATGTGTGTGGGACAGAGAAAGTGTATGCAATGCCAGATTGTAGCAGCCTTTAGGAGTAAAATAAATGGACTATGTATGATGTAGCATAGCAATAAATAAGAAAAGTGTGTAGACCAGGGATGCCCAATCTTGGAGGGCCAAAGAGATAAAACGGTCTACAAATGAAACAGGTAGGTGGGGTTAAAATTGTGTTATGAATGCATTTTTCTTCATAGTTTCTCTGTAATGAATGTTAGGCTTATGTTTCTTTTGGTGCAGAGATAATACGGTGATTATGTGACATTAAGTTGTTGCATTTTATTTTAGAACTTTTGAGCAGTAGCACTCAAAATGATCCTCAGGGACGCCACACTGTCAAGATTTTCTCTCCAACCTAACTTAAAACACACAAGCATGGAGCAAGAATGAGGACTGTCTGGGTGTCCCTGAGGACCAGTTTGAGAGCCACTGCTGACTGTATATTTTGTTAATAAAAGTAGCTTTAAGAAATAAGACTTACAAATATATATTGGTTTTCTCATTGGGTAAAGGGTTGTGGAGGTTAGAGCAACTTTCTGGCCTGCCAAATCAAATGACCTTTAGAGCCAGCTATGGGCCATAGGCTGCACTTTGCGGATCCCTGGATTACACTAATGGTTGTACAGTTCTATGCAAAAGTTTGTCAAATTACATTAGATGCTTTGGCTGCATAAATATCTATATGTGTGTGTGTGTGTGTTTACTCCATTACTCATGATCATGGCTTATGTGTTGCTCTGCTCTTGTCTCCATTCATGCTTCATTCCAGACTACCACTCAAACGCAGTGGAAGGTAAAGAACTTTGCATCCATCCCACTGCCCTTCATGCCCCCCACACCCACACATTACTATGAGATCTCAGTTCTGCCTCTGAACCTTCAGTCTCTGACTGTCCACTCTGCTTTACCTGCATGCTAACAGTGGCCAGTAAACATTCTGACACACACTCAGAGTGATATAATTGTGCTCGTCTCCCTGCCTCTCTGCTCTCACACCCTGAGGTTTATATCTGCTTGCTCCACTGTTCTTCTCTTGTGCTGTAGAATTGACTCTGGCTGTTTTATGTCTGTGCTCAATGCATCTTTGGACTGAATGTGTGATCTTAACTGCACTGGACACACACCACGCAACACCTCCACTAATACTGTACGCACATTCACAGATTGAAAACAGCAGAGGTCACACTCACCCCATGTCCAAGCTTTAGTCCTGGGCTCCAGGTGCCAGAGTGCTTGTACAGTGCCAGGATGCCCATTGTGCTGTGGGTGGATGTGTTGGTATGAGCTGGTGGCACTAGAGCAGAATGGCATTTTGCCTCTATTTAAAAACTGCCAGCACAAACCATATGCCTGAAATACGACAGTCTTCTGACGTAACAGTACCATATGTTAAAAAAATACAGTACGCAGAGTTCATACTCAGAAGGTCTTAACCTTTTAATTATTATTTTTGGTAACACATTACTATAGGGCAGTGTCCTTAAGGCTATGAGACACCTGCATAAGCTTGTCATGACAGGTGACGTAAGCCTATATAAACATTTATAAAGGCTTATTGTAATAGGCCTTGTCTGTCACAAAGGCTGCTTTTGTCCATTTTTATAGCAAGCTGACATACCTCCTGTATCAGTCGACATCACTTTGTCTTACATTGGGATGTCATGACTGAGTGAAATGACAGCATGTTATAACAGCTAACTTTGTAGCCTGCTATAATTTTGTATTGTAGTTTTGTAGATTACTACATCATCCGCATTATGTCACTTATATCACAGTTATATAATGATGTGAAACAGCTTAAATCTTACAAATAGTGCAATAAAAACCACTTTACCTAAGGACCACTTACTTTTGTTCTGCCAGTCTGACTTGGACAGCTTTGTCATATTATCAGCATTGTTGCATTGCATCATAGAGCTGGACAATATGGCAAAAGTGTTTTATTGTGATACTTCAAGAAGTTTTCACTTTACATGATATGTGGCTATTTTTTTCTCACATCTGTTAAGCTGGAACAGACAAATTAATGCAAATTATTTATATTAAATATTTTACATACTGTAATGCACAAAATTCATTTAAATGTGTTTTGTGCTATTTTTGTGCTATTACTTTTTTTGAAGGGAGCATTTTTTGACCTTTATGGTCTCCAATACTGATCTTTTAAATCAGATCAGCATATCACAACAATACAACACATTGAGATGTTAGTGAAAACATGTTCCTGCCAGCTGTGTTGCAGTCCCACGTGGATGTGTGATTTTAGCGCACATTTCGGAGCACTGTCCCCTGCTCCAGCATTCTGAGCCCCCAGCGGCCCTGCTCTTGCCACCATCAGTCTCCTGATCCATTTATAATGCCTCTCCTCTAATCTACATTCATTAATGCAGAAGTTACTGATGGCGAGAGCTTGACTGCCCCATTTTCAGAGCAGCGGGAGCACACTCGGCTGCTCTGGGACAGGGGAGGAGAGGCCAGAGCCGACTTGGACAGCTGTGGACAGGCATTCACACCAGCCAGCTTCCACACTGTTACTTTACCCTTGTGGTCCAGGGCCTAAGCCGGAACATGACCGAGGAACAGATCTTGAAAGAGTAGACAGCGTTAGATATAGAGGTGTTGACCTGTTGTGTAACTGGTAATTCAGTAAAGGTCTTTGTTTTCACCCAGGTTGAACATTGAATGAGAAGTAAAAGTATCATTGTTACCAGCGTGTTAGTGGGCCAACACACCAGGATGAATTAGTGAAATTTGTCTCTCACACAGCTGCAGCTCTGAAACTGAAGCTTGCTGTTTAAGGTGGATGTGTTTTCTACACAACCTGAGAGAGGGTTAGGATATGAACTCCGCACCCTAGCTTAGTGCTTGGCTATGTTGTCTATACTAATGGTGTAGAACTGTCAATATAAATAGAAAAATAAAGTTCAAACGCTGTTTCGAAATTTAAAACTGTATCCCCGTTACGCCCCTTGGTCTTCTTTGTTTATCATTTTTTGCGGAAACCACTGTCAGTGATTAAATGACAGCTTTTTCTAAATCAATTATAACTTCTAGGAGTTGTGATTTGGGGGCGTTATTTTGTTAGAAGGCTATTGGGGAGCTTTTGAGGAGCTGTTGGGAAGATATCGAAAAACTTTTATTTATCCGAGCCAAACCAACCTGCTTATATTATTAGAGCTCTGTAGAATGATTGATCAATAATACATGCTCCAAATTCTACTCTGAAACCTTCTTTGCATGATGAAACCTTCATGCAACTAGTTTAATGCATGCAACATAGTTTTGGTGCTACTTGACAGTTACATGAAACAGTTCAAAGTCGTATGCAACACAATAGATTGTTTTACTCTTAAGCCAACTAAGCAGCTTGTTTTTTTACTACATCACATCGTTTCCACTATATATTGTCATCTGCATTTGCAGACTTGTAGCATATATTTTTACTGTACCTTTTAAAACTTATGTTTAAGTAGCCATTGTGCCTCACTTATCCTGTCCTAGAAGCTACATTTCAGTCTCCTGTAATGATTTTCATCCTTTGAATCACCAGATAACATTAGCTGGTTAGTTAAGCTAGCTTGTTACGAAACACGTTTGATTCTTGTCTTGGCTCCGGAAACTGATAAAATGGAAAACTACCTACCATACAGTCAATCAGGAGGATCTCCTTTTCTGCTGTTTATTTTCTTGTCCATTGAACTGATCTAATCAGTCATTTGAAATGTTCTTCAACATGATAATGTGATGCATTATCTGTGTTTTGGTTGGCTTTTTCATGAAACTTGTTGAGACAGCTGCAGCTGTTGTGACTGATTTTCAGATGAGTTTGCAGGAAGCTTTACAGTATGCAACTCAAGTGAAACATGGTTTCATGGAAGTTTTACGCAAGTGAAGTAGCATGAAAGTTTTCCCATGTAAAGTCAGCCTCTCTCATACTCGCTCAGACAACTTTTACAATAAAGACCTTTAACAATGAAGGCAGCATTGTGATTCTTCTATGCAGTGATAGAAAAGGGAGTAGCAAACAGCTCCAAGTCCACATGCTGGTACATTTTTACTGTGCTAAGCTTGGACATTTATGCCTCATAACTACTCTGAATGAGGAGCACAAAACCAGACTTGCTGTATGTAGTGCTGGTAAGACATTAGGTTCTATAGGGTTAATGCAAACTTAAATATCATCTAATACCATGATGCCATAATATATTTGCCTCAGGCTGTTTTGTTTCCTTTGCTTGTAAATTTCAGTTGACAAGCAATCAAACTATGTCATGTCCTGCATATTCTCTCATTTTTCCTTTGTAACAAAAGTGCTCATTAGTCTCCCTTTCTTTCTCTTTCATTTTCCCTTCAAGTTGACACAGAGGAAAATGTATATGAAGAAATTCTGCTTGGTAAACAACAGACCTTCACTAGCTTCTTCCACCCATTAGTCCTATTATAGACAGAAATAGCTTTTTTTAGGTTATAGCCGTGCAAGTCGAACGTAGAGCTAGTTGAGTGCTGTGCTCTTCGAAGTCTGTGTCTATTCTTTGCTGATGACGTGTGTGTTGTTGCCTGGCTCTATCAGAGGCAGCAGAAGTGAGTGAAAGAGAAGGTAAATACATTGATGTAGGGTTTCTACTGCTAGAGCTTCAGTCCTGGGCCATTCCAGACTCCCCTTAGGTGTAGCAGACCTCATGTAGGCCAGTAGGTGCTTCTGAATAAAGGAGAGGGGAGTCCCCACAGGTCCTCTTCAGTAGGTCACTAGGTGCTCCACTAGCCTGTAGAGTAAATGATAGATGAGCTGTGTGTGTGTGTGTGTGTGTGTGTGTGTGTGTTGCCTATATATCTTGTTTCGTTTACAAGGTACAGAGAGGAGAGACAAAGGAAAACGTTTTGAAATGATTTACAGGAAGAAAAAGTTGCTATAGAATTGCATTACTCTGTAAATACATCTCTTTGTAATCAGGCTCTCATATCTTGTATTCTCAGATGGAACTGACCTATACATACTCTGCCCACAAACACGTTCTTTGTTTGTGGTTGTTGTGAGGTGGGAAGAGCTTTACAGAACACTGGCAAAAATCTCATTCACCCTAATAAGGAACTACAGTGCAGAACTGTAGTGCGTTGCTAATATAAATTTGAATTTATTTTTTGTGTGCATATCTGAAGCATCTCGTTGATTGGATAGATCAGATGTATATTTTTGTTGTGTTATTGAGCTTATAGAAAACTCTCCTTGGCCACCATCATGGTAATGCCCTTGGGCAGTTATTTCCAGTCATACAAGACCAGGAACCGAATTCATGAAAGCTTTCCCAAGGAGTTCATAAGAATGTTCTTATTGTTTTTTTTTTTCCATGCAGACTGTGGCTTATTTGTCATGTAGATAATCAATATCATGTTACATTTTACAGATTACCCTAAATTATATCATCAACTGATTAATTTCAAACACATCAGTGAGGTTTGCCCTGTCACTTCTTCCTGGCTAAGACAAGTGTGAGTCTGTCGTAAGGTTAAGAAAATATTTAAGAACATATTTTTTTTTAGGAAAGAGGAAAGAGTTAGGACAGTTTTTGAGGAATAATAATTATCTAATTTTTTAGGAAGCTAGCAGTTAACTTTATCTCAACTTTTTTTCTTAATATTTTTTTCTGGGCCCCAGGCTCCTGTCTCTCTGAATGTGGAGAGACCTATAAACCCAAAACTAAATAGTTACGTTAATGTTTGAAAACATATTTAAAATCACTGGTCAAGTCTGACAAAAATTGTGAGATTTGTAAATAGTTGGCTCCCCATGTTAAG